GTGGGCAGTTAGCTAAAACAACATCAATCCCAGGAAACGCTGTTTCCAGCAATTGTTTAGATGCAACTGCAGTTCCTCTGCACAAGAAATTTTGATTCTGTCAGATATTTTATAAATGAAACGAGCTCATATGAATGCAGCTGGCAAAGTTTAATCGGAAGGTTAATTGAAGATTTTCAGTTGGAGAGCTTCAAAAGTCCAAATTCAGAGGGAAGTAGCAGTTTTAATTTCCCCAGAACATGGTTGACGGTAGCAAGCAACCAATGTTTATTATATACCTCTATCTTAAGTGATGCTCTAGTTTGGGAGAACCGCTCCAAATAGGATATGAAAATCACATGAAATAACAAATTGCTAATCTAATTTCTCAGGTTGCATCTTCAAAAATGAGTTTGGAAAGAACAGAAGCAAAATGCTGCAAGGCTTTTACACCCCCCCCCCCCAAAAAAAAAAAGGAGAAAGGAAAAAAGGAAAAGAGAAATTCTGAAATGCTAGTGTGAGAAACGAGCATGATGTTGACACCCGAGTTTTCATCATTTAAGCATTGGAGCACCTTGTGTATGCGAAGCCACTTCAACGTCCACCTTCAATGTCCCTATTTGGTAAAAGTAAAAGTTCCGTTTGAAAACTTTCATTAATGATGCATTTAACAGTCCTCAGATTGCCGGGCACTAACAGAGGATGCATGCAACAGTGAGGAATGAAGTAATCGATAACATGGCAAGATGCGCGTTCAAAGCCAATGAAATTTCAGCCAATGCTAATTGCCTTGTGCGCTTTAGCTTCTTAAAAGAAAACACGAGAAAAGCAATGTTGAACTGGCGCTAAAAGGTGGCAAGTCTTTCTGAATTACTCACAGATGCATTGAATTTAATACAAAAATGGCACAGAAAAGTCAAGCGGTTAGGCAAACCTGTAAGAACAAGAAGTGCAGAAGTCAATGTTAACAGTGTTGCCGCCCCCAATCGGTGGGACAATGGTGGTCTGTTTCTGCATCAAAACCAACAAGTCACCGACACAAACTTCCAATTCGAATTAGAAATGAAAGGGTTGATGAAAAAAATGAAAAAACCTGAACGGGAAATTCCAGGGATTGCTGAAGATGCGGTTGAGACTTGGTGGGAATCGGAGAATGTTTGTGAGAAATCGGCTTGTGAGGTGGAGAAGAGAAAAGATTCATAATGTCAGAGCAGAAGAGCAAGACCGGTAAGCCCACTAGAAGAATTTGAGTTCGATCCATTGAAGCGGAGGTTGAGATTCAGGTGATTCAAAGCCTGAAAACGAAGGGCGAAAGGGTGCAAATGGAATTGAATTGAATTGTTTCGTAAATCACAATCTGAGATCCAGACTAAAAATTAAGATCCGATGTTAAAGATGGTAACCCGATTTATTTGCAACTGTTCAATCAGGCGTTAGATGTGTTCATCAATGTGTCACCACGTACCAGCGTAATGAACACATCGAAATCTGAGCAAGATTCGAGAATATCTTTCTTTTTTTATAATAGAAAACTGCATTCAATAAAAAGGGATAATACAACAAACAGATCTTAAGGTCTTCCATTTGATCAAGCGTATAAAAATTTCCTGCCATGGTATGTGAAGATTTAGCTAGAAAGTCAGTGTATCCTAAGTGAGATTCGGGAATATCTAGATGGTGATCTGCTTAAAATTTTTAACAATAAATTATTTTATTGTATATGGATAACATATAATAATAGGTAAAAAAAATTATCTTTATATAATGTATTAAGTATTAACTAAAAAATTATCTTTATATAATGCGTTAAGTATTAACTATATATGTTTTATATGCAAGTGGCATTATTAATGAATTTGCCTTGCAATAGATTTTATATTATGTGTTTAAAATTTTGTTGATTTTAAAAAAAATGGTGAAATTGGTGATGATGATAAATTCATTAAGGTCCCTTTAGAAGGGTTCATAAGTAATTTATAGAATATAAGATAAATTTGTTAAATGAATTTTGTCTTGATTTACGTAAAATATGTTAATAAGTGTTATTAAACGGTCTTAATTAATATTAAATACCTTAAGAAGATTTTACTCTTTTCGTTTGTAATTCTTTATCAAAATGTTAAGATGGTAAAAGGTTCAAACTCAAAGGAAAGTATGATTGATTTTATGTAATAATCCAGTCATCCAATCGATAAAAAAAACTGACCAGGAAAACATAAAAAAATTTAAACTCTGAGCAGCATTAAATTGACACACCATGGAAGAGTGAAGGTCGGTTCCTCAACCTGCAAATCACATCAATATTTTTATTTCAAAAACGAATCTTATCATTTGACCATGGGAGATATGTGTGTATTAGAATCAAGGCCTGTGTTCTCTTCCTTCTGAAAGTGTTCCCACGGGAACGTGATCTATGTGCTTAGAATATCAGTTTGAAATGGAATGATGAAAGTATTTTAAACCCGTCATTGTTTGATCTACGTAAGCTCTTCGCAAATTTTAATTTCTTTTATACCTTTAATCTTATATCATATATATAAATATATATATTTTCTTGTGTGTGTAAATATTCAATGTTTTTCGGCCTTTTGTGGTAAGATTGCAGAGATAATATTAAAAACTTTGCCCTTTAAATCTATTTAATATACTCCACTAATGACATTTCATCATTCCATTAATTAAGAACATTTTTCAAGGGAAAAAGAAGTTACTTGTGAATAGCTTCCAAAATCACATTCACAAAATGGCCATCTAATTTTAATTTCCTCATGAGATTGCTTTTTTTTTTTTTTGGGGAGCAAATTCCTTATATGAGATTGCTTACAGATGACACAAAAGATTCTTCTTCCTATCCTCGTTCTTCTCATAATATGACTGTATCTATATTTCAGAATAACTCAAATGTTAAGATTTCTGATTTGATTATTTCTGTTCTGATCCTTAATATGAGACCTAATTAGATGGTTAATAATAATTTTAAATGTAAAACTTATTTTATATAATTATCAACTTTTTCTTAAGTTAACTTAATTGATGTCCCTTAACAAGAATCAAGTAGGAGAGGAAAAGAGGGAATCAAAGAAGATGCTTAGAGTATTTTTTAAAAAAAGATATTATATTAACTAATTTAATTAAAATTAATAATTTACTCAAATTAGTTAATTGACTTTTACCTTAATGACCCTATAAATATACCACCACAACTGTTAGTTTTTATTTTTTTATACTGGTAGGAGCTTCGTAACTCTATAAACCAAATCAAATATTATTATCACAACTAAAATGGTAAAATCAAAGACCTCTTGCTGTGCAACAAAGGCTTAACCGTTTAACGTTTTTTATTTGAGTCTGAAATTGATTAAAGTATTTTTAACCATTTTAAAAGTATGTGTTTTATTCTTAGATCTTAAGATAATAAAATATAAATTGTTCTATAATTTAGATAAATGTTCCAAGATAGGCACCAATGGTTTAAAAATCTTGTGACCCATAGAACTGACAGAGTGATGGATAAAAGATTATATAATTTCCATATTAAAATTAAAAAGAGCTCAAGTTGTTCCATGGGACTTAAATACACCGATGATTTGAATTTCTGGATTATTTTATCCCTGCTTGACATTATTTTATTTCTAATCGGCTAATGGGATTGATGCCACCAAAACCCCCAAAGAAAATCCACAATAAATAAATAAACCATCAAACACAAACATCAACATAACAACAAATTAAAGGTTCAATCATACTTTTTTGAAATATTTAAATTACATTTTTTCTTAAAATTTAATTTCATCAGTAATTGAATTATGAGTTGCGCTGATCTCTTTTATAACAAAAGACGAGGGATAATTATTTTTGTTTTGATCAAAACATGCGTGCATGTGTGTCTTTATTAATTCCTCCGACCTATTATTATAATAACTATAAATTAAAATTATAACCTATGTTTGGATATGGAGGCTTACTCAATAAAACACGTGATTGATGTAAAAAAGTCCCAGAACATAAAAAGCAGCCATAGTGCTCATTCCATTTCATACCCTGTTTGATCCATTCCGACCTACGCGTGAAATGTGAATAAATATTAAATAATAAAGTTTAAGAAATAAAAGGAAAGAAAAATAATTTGTGTAGCGTGCGGCACATGGGTGGGCTGAAGCAAGCACTACCGACCCATTAATTAAAGGGCGGACTCGCATAATGAACCAATTGGAGAAAGGGTGAGACCCACGAGACAAAATAGGTCAACCTCAGCCACACGGCAACACTGAGAATTCTAAGGGTGTGTTTGGATGAAACCAAACCGTGATTTGGAAAAGTGATTCTGGAGAGTAGATTCTGGGGAGAATAGATTCTGTGAAGAATAGATTTTGTAAAAAAGTGATTCTGAGAAGTGAGAGTGTTTGGATAGTTGTTATCAGAAGCACTTTTTATATATACAAATTACTAAAAAAAAGACATAAGTTAATATGATAATTACAAAAAAAATAGATTTTATGATATATTTTAATTTGAAGGAATAAAATTGTTAATAATATATTTTTTACCAACATAATTAATAATACATAAGATAATATAATTAATAAATAATTAATATGTATATATATATTTATAAAATATAAGATTGAATATGTTTATAAAAAAATATATTTATAAAAAAAATAACAAGATACATATCATATAGGCTCTCACACTCTCCCTTTTTTCTCCAAAAGCAAAAAAATTTTGCTTTTTCCAAAACCATGGTTTTGACCCAAAATCATGGTTTTGGTTTTTAGGGGGGTGTTTGGGTGATCTATTCCCCAAACCATGGTTTGGGGTGTCACCCAAACACACCCTAAATTCAAATCTTAGAATGTTGAAAGGGAAAAGTAAACACGCCTTGGTCTCTCCCACATATTTACGAGGAAATATCGCTATGCGACTTCTATATATAAAGTCCGTCTCAAACTCAGACTCCCACAAGAAGACCAACCCCAAGACGCAAACTTTTCCTGAGCTTTTGCCCCTTTTTTTTTTCCTTTTAACCCTTTTGATCTTCCGACTTTCAATATTTCATTCAGATTTGTAAACTAAGAGGCTGAGCTTTGTGTTGAGGTGGGAGGAGAATCTGGGGGGAAGCCAGAGGAGTGGAGGATCAACGTGTGGCTGTCGTTGAAACACAAGTGCCCACTGAGTGTTGGATTTAATTCCTCAACTAAATTTTTCTTTCTTTCCTTGTCATAAGTTTACTAGTGTTTTGTCCTTCTTTAAGATATTTTGCCTGGCTTTGCCTTCTTTCTGCTTTGGTTCACATATTTTCGTCTCTCTCTCTCTCTCTCTCGCCCCCTCTCTCCACCGTTACTTTTCCTTTTTATTTTCCCAAGAGCCCAGGTGGGCAAACCCTGTTTTAAAGCTAAAAAGCTCCATCTGGGTCTCCAATGGCAAGTTGGGTTTTAACAGAATGTGGGTTAAAGCCCCTTCCGCCAACATTCCCTCGACCCAGAATTGGAGCTGTTACGTGTAAGAGCTCAAAGGTTAGATTTTTAAACGCAAACAATGGTGTGAATGAAACAGATCTGAAATTTCAGACAAGAGGCTTAACTGGTAACTTTAGAGAGAGAAGAAGCTGGGAATTGAGAGTGAGTGCTCCTTTGAGAGTTGCTTCCATTGAAGGAGAGAATGAAGAAAGCAAAGAGACAATCAACGTGCAGTTTAATGGGGTCACCCAGGAAGAACCAGAATTCGATCCTGGGGCTCCACCACCATTCAAATTGGCAGATATCAGAGCAGCCATTCCAAAACATTGCTGGGTGAGGGACACATGGAAGTCGATGAGTTATGTTGTGAGAGATGTGGTCATGGTTTTTGGAATGGCTGCTGCTGCTGCTTATTTAAACAACTGGCTGGTTTGGCCTCTGTATTGGGCTGCCCAAGGAACCATGTTCTGGGCTCTGTTTGTTCTTGGACATGATTGGTAATGACCAATTTCTTTGATCTCTGTTAAATTTCTAGTTTGGGTTATAAAGCTGTGTCTAGATTCATTTGATTGTTGGTTTTGATGTTTCAGTGGTCATGGAAGCTTTTCAAACAATCCCAAGCTGAACAGTGTGGTCGGTCATCTTCTGCATTCTTCAATCCTTGTACCGTACCATGGATGGTATGCTTCTAAATGAACTTTCTCTCCTCTGGTCCTCTCTTCTCTTGGACACTTCTCACTGTAATTTTCTAAATTATACAGGAGAATCAGTCACAGAACTCACCACCAAAACCATGGTCATGTGGAAAATGATGAATCTTGGCACCCGGTAGGCTAAAATCTATTTACTCCTAAGCGTTAAAGGGGTAATCTTTTGTCCCCTCCTTCCTCATTCTATTGCAGTTTCTAATATGAGAAGTTGAATTTTCAAACTTGCAGCTGCCTGAGAAAATATACAAGAACTTGGATAATTTGACCAAGACTCTGAGATTTACTGTACCATTTCCAATGCTTGCATATCCTTTCTACCTCGTAAGTTGCTTCTGCTCCTGAAAGTTTTTCACAAGACTTGAATGTGAAATTCATGAAAGCAGTTTGTTGAAATAAGGAAATTGACTTGGTTCATGATCTGAAAAAACAAATTGCAGTGGAGCAGAAGTCCAGGAAAGACTGGTTCTCACTTTGACCCAAACAGTGACTTGTTCGTTCCCAATGAAAGAAAAGATGTTATCACTTCTACTATTTGTTGGACCGCCATGGCTGCTTTGCTTGTAGGCTTAGGATTTGTGATGGGTCCAATTCAGTTGCTCAAGCTTTACGGCATTCCTTACTGGGTAAGCTCACAGTTCTTTTGACTCTCTGTGGATTAAATACTTCGCAGTTGTTTCCCTCCTTTAAGTTTTCCTCTTTACAAGCCCTAATTGAACTTTGCTTGTGATTGAAGATTTTTGTGATGTGGCTGGATTTCGTGACTTACCTGCATCACCATGGACATGAAGACAAACTACCATGGTATCGTGGAAAGGTATCATTTCTCCCTCATTTTTCTTTTTACTTTTTTCTGGGAAATGAAAGTTAACGTGATTGGATGATCTTAGCGAGAGTCTCTCTTATTTTAGTGTTTCAAGTTTGTGGTATTTTCAGAAGTAATAAATCTTCATTTATGTTGTGATAGGAATGGAGCTACCTAAGAGGTGGACTTACAACTCTTGATCGTGATTATGGTTGGATTAACAACATCCACCATGACATTGGAACCCATGTCATTCATCATCTCTTTCCTCAAATTCCACACTACCACTTGGTAGAAGCAGTGAGTATTATCTCTCTACTTTTAATGTGTTTTATATAATTATCATAAAATTATTTATCTTTCACTGAAAAAAAATCCTTAATGCTTTTTTAGACTGAGGCTGCAAAGCCGGTACTCGGAGAATATTTCCGTGAACCAAAGAAATCAGGACCTCTTCCCTTTCACCTAATTGGAGATCTGGTAAGAAGCTTGAAGAAAGACCATTTTGTTAGCGACACAGGGGATGTTGTATACTACCAAACAGACCCTAAGGTCGCTGGCTCTTCTTCTTCTTCTTCATCATCATCAAAGTAGAAGCTTTAAACAGTTTTCCCACTTGAAACAAACAAGGCAATATGAGAGGCAACAGAAGAAGTATGTGATATATATGACACAGCTCCTTAACTCTGAAGAAATTAACTTCGGAGATTGTCTCACTGTCGGAGTTTGTAATTTCTTGGAATTGCGAAGAGCTAACTTGTTCCTTAATGGATAAAAGAGAGTAGGTGCTTGTTGCCTGACACGTTTGATAGTGATTGTCTGCTGCTGAAGATTAAGCAGAGTGTATCTACCTGTTATTGTAGTTTCTTCTTTGAGAGTGAAGAATACTTGTAAATTGGTTATTCTTGATGAAGTGGTTTATCTTCATCAAATTGATGATGTATTTGCGTAAGTTTAAAGTTTAAACACCAATGTTAGATGAAAATTGAAAAATACAAATAAATTCATTAATTTGCCTCTCTTTTCTTGTTCCCCCCTTCTCAAGCATGCATATCTATCAATTATTCGTTTTGTCCCTTGATAACTCTTTCTAAAATTTAGTTTGGCTAGCTCTGATTTCTAAGTCTAAAGGAATGATTTTGTCCAAAATTTAAATCCCTGGAGAAGCTACTGGACCACATGAAATAAGTTAATCATTATATATAAAAATAGTTCTGGTAAAAAAAATTTATATATAAAAATAGGAGTTAGATAACTAATTTAAAAGTTTAGATGTTGGTTGATATTTTTTTAATCCTAAATGTAAGAGTTAGATAACTAGCTTATAAATATTTAAAAAATTAATTAGGTTAATTATCTGTAATAAATAAATACTTGTTTATTTAAAATACCTCCTTTAATTATTATCCCAATGAGAGAAGCTCCCTTTAATAGGAATATTTTGAGAGAGAAAAATACAAATTTGATAAACAAAATGGATTAAAGTCTTACATTTAATAGTAAAACAAATCTTGCAATTAGTTTCTATATTTAGGATCATAAAAGTATTCAACTTTGTAAATATATATACCTAAAAACCATCGAGCATGGTGATAAAGATTGAAAAGGACAAGACCCTTGACCCAACATTGAGAGGAGGATCCAAGAGTATCAAGAAAATCTGAATGGAAAACAAAAGGTCGAAATTATATGAGAATGAGAATGAGAATGAGGTGAGATGGGGCTGAGCAATGGACACAACAGAACGGGGGAGAAGTCATTGTCTGTCACATATCAGCATGGTGGTTCTGAAAGTGAGTGGCCTAATTTTTTTTTTTTTAGAAACCAGGTGGTATTCCCAACTAATCCTTCCGAGGAGTAGAGATTATCGAAGTGGGTTTTGCCTCTCCTAACAAAACTTTTTCTATACAGATGGCTTGGTTTGAATCCCAGACATCATGTTTAAGGGATCCAACTATCTACCGACTACGCAAGACTTTGTTGGTAGTGAGTAGCCTAATTGAATTAAAAAGAAAGAGTAATGTGAATGAATCAAATAATGTGAAGGTGAAGAGCGAGGAGGTACACACTGTCTCCCAATGGACCACTCACACAGTCACACAGACACAGTTCATCTCACATGCGTCCATACAGCATCCAACCATTTTGTGTCGGAAAAAGTTTGTGCCTTTCATCCATCCCATCCCTAATCCTTCCACATTCTCTCTTTACAATTACAAGCTTACAACCAACCTACCAGCTGTCATCTTTTTTTTTTCACCCCACTAATCCAATTTTTTTTAATATCTGAGAACAATTCCAGAAAAGTAGGACACATATCCTATCACGAACGATTTGGTGCTGTGTTATGGTATCACGTCACTGGCCAGCAAAAAAATAGTACTACCTCTGATTCATAAGATAAGATTCAATTTGTAGTTCAAAACTAAATCTTACATTAATGATAATAAAATTTTATCTTTAATTTTGCCTCAATTATCGATTTAGTCATCGGAATTTAAATTTATCAATTAAGTCTAAAAAATTTCACAGTCATATGCAAATAGTCTTTTATAATTCAAAGAAATGTAGGGTGACTTGTAAAAGGATGTGTGAATGAAATATGCTTGCTTTTAACAATTTGGTTAAAGATAAGCAGGGCATAAGTTTGTATGGTTATAAAATTTTAGAGACTGGATTAATACAAATTAAACTTCAAGAACTAAATCAAACTAGAACTCTCTTTTTGTGGTTTCATTAGTGTTCTCGATTGTATTGTTTTCTTTAATTTGAAATGAACTTCGATATCAAGAGATAAAACATATTCGCATAGCTACAGTACTTATTCTTGAAAGCCCTTCTTTTTTTTGGTATTTAAATTTGTGATTGCTTAAAAGATATCACAACCAGCTTTAGCCAAACTATTTGTCGATTGATAATTGTTTCTTATTTATAATATACTCCTCCTGTCCTTAATATAGGACCCAATTATTAAGTTGCTTTTAGTCCTAAATATAAGACCCATTTCTCATATTTATCAGTTTTCTCTAAATTACTCCTATGGATACTCCTTCAACCATAATCAAGTAGAAGAGGGAGATGGGGTATTAAGAAAGATGATGATGGTGTTTTAGGAAAAATATGTCACGTTTCTTATAATTAACTAACTTACCTAACTACCCTAATTTAATCAAATTAGTTAAATGGGTCTAATATTAAAGACCAGAAGAGTATGGTTTTAATACATCTAAAATTCTCAAAGCAACCTTCCAAATACTAGAATTTCACATTAAACATTCTTATTTTATTTATAGCCAGCTAGTCAACAATTGACAGCATTGCTTATATAACAATCTTTTTTCGTTTCTCAAGCAACTATTTTTCATAAATCCAACAGAGATATCATTTCACAAACATGGTTTTAACTTGAGCCAAGTGTTCTCTTCTTCCGCTTCTCCTACAACTGTAGAAAGAAAAATCATCATCATTATTGAACAGAGCTTCCATAAATCTTCATTATTCCACTGACATTCACTGCGAGTGAGTAGTCTAATGGGCCAAGGAATGGCCCATCTTAGCCCATGGTCCAATAACGGTGTTAGTGGGCCGAGAAAATCAATTTTGACGAAGCCCATTATTAAATTGAACCGTAGCCGCTACGAATGATGTAGTATTTGTGTTTTTATATGAATATATTACCCTAGAATTGTAAATTATTCAGGTTTCACATCATTTAAAAAATAATAATTTTTCATAAGTGGCTTGGTGAGTTGGTGGGAAAAAATCAATGAGATTTTTTTTAAGTACCAAACCTAAATTTGACTCATACTGAAAATGTTTGAATCAACTTGAATATTATATTGTGGCATAAGTTGATGATGACGACAATATTTAATTTGTCCCTGTTTGTCCACTAATTTAAAAAAATGCTGTTTTTTCTCTGTAATTTTTTAAACAGGGTTTACAAGGTGAAATGCTTAAATTAAAAGCAATAAGTAATTTAATTTTAAAAAAAATAAATCTGGCGTTCTTGAATGGGTATTATTATTATAAGAAAAGGTCAAACGGTAAATCATTTTCAACCAACCTTTTCCCACAGTCAAATTAATTAATGGTCCACAAAAGCAACTTACATTCTAAGTCACCAATAATAAATGATATTGTCAACTATCAAAACTAAACCCACTTATTATAAATATAATAATCGTTTGTCTAATCAATTCAAACAAGACTTAAGAATGAATAGTTAATTATATAATTAACCACGATCAGTCAAAATGGATAAATGTGAATGGAGTAACTAATAATTAAAATAAAAACTAATAGAATTACCAAATCTTTTAATTTTTTTCTTTTTATTTTTCCAGGAGTCAAATATCAATTCAATGTGGGCGAATAGCAGAATATTATAATTTTCATTGGACCAAATACTGTAAAGAGTAGGTTATATAAAAATGTGAGTATGTTCTCTAATTTTGAGGATTAAGAAGTGAATAAATTCATATAATGTCATAACTTGTGCCAATAACAATTTAGCTTAATTGGATTCAATAAAGGGAATAAAGTGACAGACATTTAGGTCTAAATGCCGAATATTTAGTCTAATATATAAATCTTCATTGAGATGGTGGTTATAAGTAAATTATAAAAACAATAAGAACATTGTAAATGATCCTCGAATATCTACCTTTTTCTATCTTTCTTTAATATTAACAATTTTTTTAATTGAAAAAATATAGAAAGAAAATGAGGGGGGAAAAGACTAAAAATAAAGAAAGTCATGAGTAGTGCTTTGTCATGTTATGGTAAATGCCCCCAAACCAGAGGACAAAGAGGATCAACTAGACTTTGTTGAGATCGCTATTCCCTCAGTGGAGAAACAAAAATTAAATAAATATATAAATGTCATCATTTATGGTTTTGGTTCAATTTTGTGGGTTCGTTGGAAGACTGTGATAAAAGTGATATACTGATATCTTTATGAAAATAAATGAAATTTTTTATTTTCGCCCTTATTAAATAGATAGCGTATCTTCCTTCACTCATTCCTCCTATTTTCACCTTTATAATTAATATGAGCAAAACTAGAAATGAAGCATTGAAAAGGGTATTAGTAACAAATAAAAAAGACCAAAATGTTCCACTACAAGTGATAAATAATAAGAACTATAATGATATATTATAAATTAGAACAATAGTTAAACAAAAAAATGAGCGATTTATAGCTTAATTAAAATTAAATACTATAATTTTGAGTATAAACATGCTATCTGATCTTAAGCGTGTTGTGTAACGATTAATTTTTTTTTCCTTTTCAAACGTTATAAGCTCATCAGGTCCAAAAAAATATAAGTTTATTATATTCCATGTTATCATGGTTATTCTTAATAAATTATTTATGATCATACTTCATTTGGAAAACATCTTTATTTTTATCTTATTGTTATCATACATAATTTACACCATATATATGACATTTTCATTTCACAGTTCGACTACAAATTGTTGAAATCCTGCAATTCTGCGAAGGGAAACTCTGTGAAATCTACAGGATTTTAATTTATTTAGATTTTCAGGAGAAAACATATTATATGTTACACATAATCAGTAAGGAAGAATGGAATATTTTCAACATAAAATATACGTAGAAATTAAAGATATGCAGTATCTTATCTTTATTCATGGAATATATCATCTTGTGCCATTAGCAGTAAAAGAAAAGAAGAAAGAGTTTGCTTTCGGCAACTCTAACTTTGTTCCTCCGACATAATATTAAGTTCTATTGAGATTCTTAAAACATTGAATCAATCACTCACGCACAACAGATATATATCTTCCCTAATTAATTAATTAATTAATTAATTTACTTTTTGACTTTCATCTTCTGAAAAAAGTTTTATTTTATCTTATTTCCTCATGTATTTGACACAAAAAGAATACACGCACACACATTAATTGAATGAGGATGGAATCGTTTGGG